TATATATATATATATATATATATATATAAAATTATGAATAAATCAAATAAACATTCACGCTGCACCTGCTCGTTTTCGGTTAAGACCATAGATTTCCTATTTAGTTAAGTTTCTAGAAAAGTCATCTGATACAAATGAACTTTCTCTTCGTCTCTATTTCTACCAAATGAAACAAAGCAAAGGAAATTCATTTTAGTTTAAAAAATGAGAAAATCCAAGTCCATATGTTCAATGTTAAAGTAATTAGTTTCAGGAATTTTTTATGATCTGTTATGTCTTTATAATTCAAAATGCAACAGCAGTACCAAATGAAGCAGTTGCAATAAAATTAATTGCACCAAATGCTAGCAGTTGCAGAAATCAAGATCTGAGTTGGGAATTTAAGTGTCAGTCTAAGTCTCATATTGGATAAAAATGAGAAAGTAGAGTACCTTAATAAAAGACTCATTAATCCATTGTCTTAAGGTTTTGGGTAAAAAGTATTAGTGCTTTTGTCTCCTAGGTGAACCCCCTCCTCGATAGATTCATAGATCCATTAGACTGATGAAATTGAAATTAGACTTGCATCCATTCGACATATATATATTATTCTCCTGATGAAAACACCCTTGATAAGAAGAAGGATTATTGTTCTGTCACTACTCTTAATTCTACAATTAAAAGATGTAAAATTAACAATCCTGTTTCTTCATTCATAACGACAAAAGGATACAATATATTCATAACAAACAAAGTACACTCAAACAAATTTCCAATAAACACTGATTTAGTATTTTCTAAAATAGATATTAATACTAACAATGCATGGGAATGGGTCTAAAAGTGCACAGCAGCACTATTAATTAGTAACAGCAGAGTTTGCATAGCTACTATCAATGCCATGTTTAGATTGTTAATAATTTTCTCAGCTCCACTTCCCAAAGCTTCATCGCCTGAAACAAACTGAAGTCCTGGTGGTGGTGGTGATGGAAGAACCTTACTTGGAGTATCACTTAGAGGTTGACACTTCATTCCCGATAGGCAGTTATTTGTTGTACTGAAATTAGGAAATGGAAGTCAGAAAATGTACACTACCATATATGAAAAGGCAGAAAAGTTGTTTGAAAAAATGTGTTTGAAAAACCATAGAGAAGTTAATTCTAATGTTTCTTCTCACTATCAAAAAAGCATAAAAGAATCAACTTACACTAGTTCAATACTTTTATTCTTTAGAGATGTGGGTATGGAACCATTGAACCTGTTGTTAGACAAATTCCTGCACAAAGAATTGGAAAAATTTAGTTTTCAGTGTATAGAGTTCAAACCGATGCATTTGTTGGAACATAATGTGTACAACAATGAAACTTACAATGTTTTGAGATTAGGCAGAAGTCCAAGGAAATCAGGAATGGGGCCTTCTATGGTATTGTTTTGCAGATAACTGCAATTCATAGAGAAGTTTAATTGATCAATAGAAAGCCAAGGTTTGATCGTAACACATTGAACAAATTCTTTTCTGAATTTTATGTGTCTTACATGATTTCAAGTGCATTCATGGAACTGAAATCCGGAAGTGTGCCTCGCAGATTATAACCAGTAAGATACCTATGTTTTTCCATCATATATACAGAAAGAAGAAAGTTAGCAGTTATGTTGTTTAAAATTTCTAAATATTGTTCTGGTAAAAAGATTTCTAAACATTGTTGAAAGAAGGGATATCAACCTACAATGCAATCACTCTTGGTTTGACATCAGTGTTGCATTGTATCCAATCCCAGTTATATGGATATGGAAGACAAGGGTCACCACTTCACTCCACAAGCACTTCAAATGCCAACTGCAGTTGTAACAAACCTTCCACTAAACACAGACAAAAAACACCAAGTTAAATAACTCTTGGTAACTTGTAGAACATCTATGTCTATCTATATTTGGCATATCAAGTGACATCTTTTTTACTGTGTGGAGACTAAGAATGAGACAAGAAATTTGTATCAAGCAACCATGTATATAGAAGATAGTGGTCACAGTCATTTTAAAAAGTCATGAGCATTTGTTTAATCTTAACCACTTGGTTTGTATCAATAATTCTCATTTCTCATGATAGAGTTATCAAATTATGTGCTCCCTATAGAGATATATACATATTTTGGTAACAACAGAACACACTTACCATCTCTGTTATCAGTTCCTGCAGTTAATGTATCACTTAAGGTATAAACTTCAAGAGCATTGAGTAAAGGAGGAAGGGTGGAGGTGTTTGAAGCTTGCAGAGTAAATGAAGTCTTGGCTGAAGCTGTCATGTTGGTGATGAACACTTCTTTCACACTTCCAAAAGGAGGAACTATTGGACTTAAAAAGGGCTTGTTGTCTATGTACATCTGAATGGATCTTTTGCCAACTGCACTTTCATTCACTTCTGAGAAGTAAGCAGTGATGTAAATAGGAAGCTCCTCTGTGGACAGCCTATTGATGAACTGCATGTATTGTGTAGTGCTTGAGGAAATAACAGCATTTTCAAGTGCAGCTTGTGGTGGATGATCTTCTGTTGTGCTACTGTCAATGCCTGAAGCCTCACTTTTCACTTCAGAAAGGCCTATACCATATGATGGCGCCCATATTCGATCAAAAGCATCATCTGGGTACCTAGCATATTCCAGTTGATGCAACGATAACAATGTCAGACACCAGATCTAATAGCAGACATTAGCGTTCATAAAGTTATTTAAGGAATGAGACACGAGACTAACTTACATAAGATATTGATATCAATTCCAACTCAAAACTTTAAAATAATAGATTTATAAGACAATGGATTTATAAGTCTGTTTATTTTGCTTCAAAACTTACTATAGTTAGAATAAGGGAATCGTTCTGTAAACTATATAGACTGAGGAAATTCAAAATTTGAGTTTAAATACCATAACATATACTTCTACTTACCATAGTTCATAAATCTACTATTGAGTAGGGGTGTGTATATCAGTATTGTAATTCCTCATACCTAATAGTTTGATTTCCACCAAAGGCATATCTCCATTGCAAAATCAATGCATGATTTGGATCAACGTGACTGTACATTGTGGGGTCCAAGCTACGTACTTCAAGGGATGATATGAAGGGAAACTGGTTAGGCTTTGTTTGAGCAACACATATGCTGGTGAAGTTTCCCTTTGCTACATATATTGCTTCATAATCAACATAATAGTAATTTGAGCTGTTGACAGTGGCCCAGTAGTTTCCATCAAACTGAAGATCAAACACTGGTGGAGAGAATTTGTCGTCATAATTGCCATAGTAAAAGCTTGCTCTAGTAAGAATTTTTTCTCCTTTTCCAACTCTGATGGAATAGCAACTCTTTTTTCTACCTGGGAACACCCTCAGAGTGCTCAATGGGTTAGAACCAAGATAAACCTGATGAGACTCTCCATGCTGAATGTAGTCATCATCTCCAATCCATCTTATGTTGTTTTCATCAGTGGAAGATTGTGAGGATCCACAATCAATGCTTACAAACACTGTGAGACAAGGTTTTGAGAACAATAGCACCCAAAGTGCAACTCCTAAAACAAAACCTTTTGGAGGGATTTTCATGGTTGGTTGAGAAGAGATCTATGACAAGGATAAGCTTGTAACTGGTGTGGAGTTGTGTTTAGCCAAAGCATGTTGTGATTATATATAATGATGCCATCATAGCTTCATTAGTGATATGCATGCATGTAGTGACCAGCCAGCAAAGTTTAAGAAGATAATGATTGGATATTCAACTGTTGGTTGTGTTTTTCTTGATGTTTGTTGTGTCTTCTTATTTGACTTAGGATTTAGATATCATATATTGAAAGTTTCAAAGTGATAGTCACTAAAAAACACAATGGTGCAAGCAAAGTGGTGACCAATATTTGATGGGTTAAGATGATCAATGCAAGAAAAAAAATAAGAGACTAATACTTGATAAAAAAAAATATGTTTAAAGAAATCTTATAATGTTTCTTGGTTGAATTATTAGCATCAAAGGTTTTTGGTATTGTGATATATTTTTACATTCATTTAATATATAATATAAAAATAAAATGGTTGAGTAAATTTTTTTTTTCAAAAAAAGAGAATAAAAAATTAAAAATAAAGATAGTATCAAATAAATATAAAAAATTATGTATTAAAGTATTATTTTTGTTCGAAAAATTATGGTAAAAATACTTAATTAGTTGGTTCAAATCCTCTTTGGCATTGTCAACATCATAATGAGGAAGAAACAAAAGTACTATTAGATTATGAGAGAATAAATAACACTTTAATATCATAGTTCGTGTCTTTCACATAGTCTCAAACATATCCAGGTGTCAGAAGTGCTTTGTTATCAAACCTTAAACATAAATGAATAAACTAAACACTCATTTTTTATGTTTAGCACCATAGAGTTGACTTCAAGCGGAATTTATGGCTTGACATTTGATCAAACAGTTACTTGCAATAATCAAACACTGATAATTATTTTTTGTATGTTATCTAATCTTATCATACAATTGAAAACACAAGAACTGAGATGCCATGACCCAGTTAACAACATAATAACTATGGCTTGTTTGAACAAAAAGAAATTAGTCTCAGCAGAAAATATTTGTCATAAGATGTAGCGTGTGATTTCCCTGTTAAAATAACAAAACTTAGACTACAAAAGTCATGGGTGAACTAAGTCAGAAATACAGAAAAAAAAAAATAGGGAAAATAAAAAATTCAAGAGATATTTCTAAGATAAAACATACTGTCATGCATGTTTAATGTTTAAGGCTGAATGAAATTAGAAAATGTCTTAATACCTTTTTCCTCTCTTGTCGATTTTTTTAAAATGTTATTGCTAATTTTTAAAATCTTATAATATTTTAGCACGACTAGGAGTTTTACACGTGTTATCTTTAGTCGTATGATTAGGATACACCTACCATGTTTTATTGGTGTTAAATTCTTAAATGATACTTTAATACATAAAAAATAGATGGTAATGTGAGCATTAAAAATTAATCAATTTATTTTTATTCATTGTTTCTTTTTTAATCCTTGTCATTGACCATGCAACCTTTTTGTAATTGTTGTCTTATGTTAAAGAAACTGTTGCTAATCCTAACAATACGTGGCGTGCATTAACTCTGCATCTACAACAATTGGTTTAATATTTATTAATTATAATAATACATAATTTGTGATATGTAAATAATCAATTCAGTCTGGAGACAGACACATATCATACCAAATTAAGACAAATTTGATAAAACCCTAATTAGTTAAAAGACATTTCAAAAAATTGGAAAGCTGATCGAAAATGTTCCTTAAGTATAAATATTAATTTTTATTAGTATTATTATGCTAATTTACTAATTTTATGATATATTAAAATTATATATTCATTTATCATTTAAAATATTAAAATCGTATAACATCTCAATTTCACAGTAATTTAAAATTTATATAAAAGTTTCTATATATAAAAAAAAGAATAAAAATTGAGTGAGGCACATCAAGTTTTCCTGTGGATCAATCAAAACTAGAGCACCGATCCAACGTTTTATCAGCAAACTGCTATCAACTGATTTTATTTATTTTTTTTAATTTAGGAAATCAATTGAACAAACATAAGCTAGCAACCTGAGGTTTCTGATATTTAGTTTTCCTTTCAATTCCAATGTTTATTTACAAGTGCATTGCAAGTTCAGATATCCCCATAAATGTACACTTATACTACTACAATCGTATCAATTCTACAAGCTGTAACCATGCAAGTAAACTAAATCTAAAAAATGTACCAAATTCACATAGTACTAAGCAGCATTGGGAGTGTAGATGTCATGACTCTTGCAGAAGGATCTCATAGATGTCAGTTCTTAGATTCAGTTCCTTATCACGCATAACTTCCTGTAGATCAGATAGCTCTTTTGCAGTAAGGACAGAATTAAGCTTGAGAAAACCATCCAACCATAGCCTTTTTGACCTGGTATGCATATTAACATTAATAATGATCAAATAATAATAGTAATATAGTAAGAATAGGAACAAATGTGTATATACAGTACAAAAGGTGTCAGACTTGTAAATGTAACTTGAGATCTCAAATTATCACAAGGTAATATTGCCTAATAGAAATTTTCCATTTTGTTGATTTGTTAAATCTATATCACACTTCTGGGAAATGTTAGTTCCAGAAGATTCCTGTTTTCAGGTATGGATTCCAAAATAACATCGTTAGGGTAGATAGAATCTTGAAGATAACTAAGGTGAATCCACTGATGTGTCTAATGCATTTGAAACGTCTGCCTGATACCAAAAAATGTTATTTTATTTTTGTTTTAATGTCTCAATAGGTTCCTATTTTTGTTCAGAATTTGAAATAGGTTCCTTTATTTTTTGGCGTCTCAATTGGGTCCTTATTTTTGTTAATTTGATGCAAATAAATCCTCTCCGTCAATTTCATCAAACGACGTTAATGAATGTGTGACGTGGCCTGAGGACAGTATTGACACGTGTAAGGCCACGTCACACATTCATTAACGTCGTTTGATGAAATTGACGGAAAGGATTTATTTGCATCAAATTAACAAAAATAAGGACCCAATTGAGACGCCAAAAAATAAAGGGACCTATTTCAAATTCTGAACAAAAATAGGGACAGACATTAAACCTTTATTTTTCAAAAAGAAAAAAAAGAAAAAACTAGAGTTCGTGATTTATTCTCTAAACCGAGTTTGTTAAACAAACAGGCTATATAAGAGAGTCTAACAGGATCAGGTGGCCCGTAAACTAACAGACAAAAGTGACACAAAATTGTAATCTGTCAGATTTTGAAAGAGGCTTACTATTAGCAGGCCAAGGAGATTGATCTAGGACATGGAAGATATACACTAGAATAAATAAAAAAGAAACTAAAATAAATTAACTAAACCAGGACACAATTATGCTTTCATGAAAACTAACATTACTGCCAATGATAGATTGTTAAATTTAATCAGGATTAATTGTTTATTTTATGTTGCGTAAAGTACCAATCTGAAATATCATCACTATTTGGGGACCACAAATTAAAAACCAACTAAATATGATTATGTGTCGCTAAAATATTTACCAACTTCCTTATGAAGTCACCAACTAAAAAACCAACTCTTTCAACTTTCTGTGTCACATTTCAGCAGGCTCTAAAGCCGTGTTGGCAGCTTGAACGGAGACAAGATTACAACCCTATATATTGCCATATACTTTGGCGTAACCAAAAAATTCTCATGCAAATCACCAACTTTTGTAAATTGTTCCCCAAAAACAGTTTATCGGTAAATGCTTTTTTTCTTTCACCCTGTTCTGTACTTCTGGGCTATACCACTGAGGTACACGACACTCCAACTCTAAAAACCCAAGTGGATTGTTTCCAGCTTCGACTGTAGCAAACTCAATTTAATAAAGAAATATCATTCAATCATTTAAAACATAGTTCTCACCAGGGGCAGGAATGGATAGCCCGGAAGAAGGCACGACGAGCTGCAGAAGGATCATTTGCCATTTCCATTTCAAACATGATGTAGCAACGCCACAGTACAACTGAGCTGCTAAGACCGTCATTACTCAATGCCTTTTCGAACAATCCTCGGATTCTGTGTTCTGAACCACCTCTAAACATTTCGAATGACAACGCAAAAAGCCAGAGAACTACAGATGGTTTCCTGAGAATGTACCACAAAAGAATAAATTATTGCTTAGTTGATATTCGAGAAAATCTGCACAAACGAACTGAATATTTGAAATTACCAAACACGTGTAAAACTGTAACAGCGATAAAAAGGAAACGGGAATCTAAAATAAAAGGATATAAAATATTTATTTCATAGAAAAATGTGATTTGTATATCGATAGTGCAAAGCAAATATTATTGCTATTAAAAGAGAAGGAGAAACAGATTACTTGAAACCAAAAAAAGGGGAGGGGGAAGAATAGCTTTAGAGATAGGGGTCAATCATTTTCAGAAACAGGACTTTTGATGTACAAAAACCTTCGAAGTGTTTTTATACACCCCACTTGCACTGTTTACTACATCATAGTGTAATGCTTGGAAGTAAAAAACTAAAAACTTAACTAACAATCCAATTTCTTGATTTCGCCAAATGTTTTAGGCTGGGTGAGAAAGTATAATGCCTTAGAAGGGGCTCCTTCCTTTGGGATCAAAACAAGATATGACAGGAAAGAACGCTTTATATTTCCCATCAAGTTTCTGGAATAGTTTTTGAATGTCATTTTTCTTTAAAAATTAAAAATTGTAAACATGTATCACACTAGTAACATAAGTCTAATTTTAAGATTAAATTCACTGGTGGGATATATGGAAGTTACAATTTTCATTAATTGTCTACATCTTCCCCAAGAAATGACAATTAACTTGTGCCTGTTAACCCGGGGGAGCAACCATTTTAAAATCTTTCATAGTTACACTCTTCTAATATTATTATCTTGAAATTTCTATACTTTGAAAAAATGGTGAAGCTACACGGGAAAGAAACATACTTGTAACAACAGTCATCTAGAATCCGCCGCAGTTTATTAGATGTGGTGTAATAATGGCCGATCTCTACTAAATCTTTTAGAAGTTCAGGACTGAAGGGATATATCTGGAGACCATGCAAGATGGATTCCCAAAC